AACTGTATGAGTGGACCTCAGGAGATAAAATGACATACTTTTAAAATGTACAATGGGATCCTTTAAAGCTTTACAAGGGGAAGTTTGAGGACTCTTCTAATGATTTCAGTGAAAATGAAAAACAATTCTGTTCAGTTTTTATTTAATATGATTAAAAATAAGTTGTATTTAAACCATTGTATTAATGCTGTTATTTCCCGTGTTAATTTTTAGGTTAAAACAAAAGAGTTAAATCTTTGAAACACTCAATGTGAACTAATCCCATGAGGATATTTTTCTTATAGTATTTTTGTTGAAACAGTCAAGCGAGCTCTACTATTGGTCAGGACTTCAAGAGCTACATGAACTACCAACATGATTAAGAACTGACAGAGGAACCAACCAATGGGTGGTCCCAATTGGATGAGATAAAAAGTCATTTTATACCTTCTCGTTGTAGATACAGTACTGACAGTGAATGCCAGCTGTCGTCTAACCAGATTCCGATTGGTTGTTAGGAATGGAAAACAGTGGCGGCAGCTCCATGCTGGGACTCTTTACTGAAAGAGTCACTGTACAACTGACACGAACAAGCTCAAATGTTTGTTAACATCTTTTACAAGCTTGAAACATTTGTCTTAAGTCTAGAATGACCAAACTATTCCATCCCTAGCAGGAAATTAGCATTATCGCAGAGGTGTTTTGATATTTATAGCCCAAACTGAAGACCTAGTTCTACTAGTCATGGTTCACCACTGGGAAAAGTCACATGTTCAAATGAATGCAGCGCTGCTTTGGTCTGGCATGCAGTGTGTATGTGTAGTGTAGAGTGGAGGAGTTGTGTGATGGAACCAGAGAACAGAGGCCTTTGGGGTGTTGCTAACAGTAGTTATTCAACACTTCTGTCTCTTTCTCTCTCTCACACACACTCTTGTGCAAACATCTATTTTTAAGCTAACGCTCAGGCCTTTGGAGATTAGGTTCCTAGTTTATTTGGACAGCCCTCTGTAGATGCTCAATTTGTTAGCTAACTGCTTGATGAAACTCGGTTTTCCCCGCAACATTAGAGATTAGGGTTAAGTTTTGATTTTGGGTTGAGTTTAAGGTAGAGTGAGTGCCCTAAGTTCAGGGCAGTGGTTCTGAAATTGGTCCTCAGGGTCTCATAGATGGTCCATATTTCTGTGATAGCAGTTGAGATTGAACAAAATTGGGCATTTTGGCATAAAACTAGCATTTAGTATGTTATTGTTATGGTATATGTTATTCTGAAGTGCAGCATTGGTTTCAAGCCTCATTTGACAGGATTCAAGATCATTTTCATGCTTTTGTATATTAGTGCTCTCCCGCTATTATTCAACATTTGGGATGCTGGCCATGCATTATGAAAATATATCACACAACCAATGAGAATCCCTGTGGTATCGTCCAATCCTGACCACTAGCCAACTGATCTGAGTCTAATAAGATTATCCGGGGTGCTAGGTAGCGTGGTCGTCAAACTTTTTTTCTTCAAAAAAGAATTTCAAACACCGCAAAGCACTTGAAGTCTTTTCCAAAATTGACTTCTACCTTCAAGATATGTCATCAAAAGGGTGTTCTCCTACCTTTAAACTAGGAAATCTCACCGTAGAATCTACAGTGGCACTGCTGTAAGAGGTGAGTAGCCATGTTTACAACAAATGCAGCAATGGTTACAGTTTTTATCTTGGCCAGAGTGACCTTTAAAGTAGCATTAATAGATAGCTAGTTAAATGTTAGGTCAGGACAAGGTTGCAGGCGACTTTACAAACAATGTGTTACTGAGATTATTTACATTTCAAGCTGAATTTAGGACTCTATAGGTCACTTCAGGTAATCTGGCTTTCTCTGTGCTTTTCCTTATGAGGTTCTACTCCCTGGAGTGTTGTCAGATGTTCTACAGAGCACATTTAGTTACACAATGGAAAAAAAAAAAACAGGTTCCAAATATTCACTGGCTTGTTTAATTGGACCCAGATTCTGGATGCATGTTTTGGCAGCAACCAAGATTGCTCTGTGCCAATGATCAGTGTCTCAAATGCTTCAGGAAACAGATCAACCAGTAAGTACTCTTACTGGCCACTTTATTAGAAACATCAACCTTGTAGTTCCATTAACTGACCATTTTATTAGAAACACTAACCTTGTGCTTCCAATCACTGTCCACTTTATTAGAACTCCAACCTTGTGTTTCCACTTACTGTCCACTTTATTAGAAACACCTACGCTATGTGTCCACTCACTGGGGAATTCATCAGAAATGCATACCTGGTTTTCCCACTCCCTGGCCACTTTATCAGAAACACCGAACTTGTACTTCCACTAACTGACCATTTTATTAGAAACACTAAACTTGTGCTTCCAGTCACTGGCCACTTTAGTAGAAACACCAACCTTAAGTGTCCCCTTACTGTCCACTTTTTTCAGAAATCCCTACCTTATATGTCCACTCACTGTACACTTTGTCAGAAACCTCTACGTGATGCTTCCATTCACTGGCCACTTTATCAGAAACTTCTACCTGGTGCCTCCGCTCACGGGCCACTTCATTAGAAATACCTACTTTGTGTGTTCACTTACTGTCCATTATTAGAAACCTCCACCTTGTGTGTCCACTCAGAAATACCTGTCTTATGCTTCCACTAACTGGCCACTTTATTGGAAACCTCTATCTTGTAATTTCACTAACTGGCCACTTTATTAGAAACAATTATCCTATGCTTCCACTCACTGGCCACTTTATTGGAAACCCCTATTTTGTACTTCCACTCACTGGCCACTTTATTGGAAACGCTACCTAATGCTTCCACTAACTGGCCACTTTCTTGGATACATCTCTCTTAAGCTTCCACTTACTGGCCACTTAACTGGGTGATTTGGCAAAAATGTATTATCATGATATTTCAAGACTTCTTCTCGATACACAAAATGCATCCCCTTTGTTTTAAGGGTGACTTAATTAATTATAGTAATGATAAATAGCATCATGTTCCTCGGCCCTATATTCTGCTACCCAGGGTGACAACATCAGACAAACAAACATTCCCTAATTGGGTGTCCAGATTGGAACAGAGGCCCCACTGAGGTTAGAATGCGGTCACCCAGATGAGTCACATGATCCTGGACATCTGCCCCCCCAAAATAAAGGCCATAAGCCAAGCTTTATATGACAGCTTGCATTGTCTAGCCTTTTGATTAAGCACCCGCGCTAACCCACACATGAAAAAAAAACACAAGCCCCATTGTCCCCTCTGAAATCAGTCCGCTTTAAACAACATAACTCAGCCGCTGGCCCTCGCTCACGCCACTTGATTTTACAGCTACGCTTCAATTACTCAACGTCCTTCCTCGCAGCTGGACGAAGACCGTGCACAAGAACCCTACAAATGTGTGCCCTTTGGAAAACTCCCGCAAGCAAGATCAAATGGAGAAAACACTCTTGTCCCCTTCGGCAAATTTCTCTCACGTTCAGCCTTGACGAAGAGCAATGTGACCAAAACCGGCACTCAGAGCACAGCCTGCTAAAAGTTATGAATCAAACATGAACAAACAATCTCTTCTCCTTACATAAAGCACTTCTCAAAGCTCAGTCGCATGCAGCACATCAGCGAGAGCTCCACTGAATGTCAAGGCACTTTTGAATCTCTTCCACTCTGCACATCCAGATGAGTGTTTAAGTGCATGTGGATGTGGGGTGTCGATAGTTCTGGTGTTTTCTGTTGACTTGCAGTAATGTGCAAAAGTTAGAGACCACCATCTCATATGTTTATAACGGTCAATATTCATTTTATCAGCAACGAAAAGCAGAAAACGTTTCGTTGCTATATGAGAAAAGCGATGAATCTCCAAAAACAGTAACTTTACAGGAGAATGCTTTTTATTTTTAATACAAGTTCATGTAAAGTAACTCTTTCACAAGCGATTTTGGAGCATTTCTGTTGGTCCAATCATCTTGAAGTTGTCACACAATGCAAAGGAGAGCGATTGTGTTCAAATGATATAAAGAGTCATTCGTTTTGAATAGCACTGATAATTACCCAGAATCCTCTTTTTTTCAGTATTTAAATGTATCTTTATTACACCTTCCATTCTTTTTCAGGTGACTTGCTTTCAGTTTTTCAAAGCACACCTCCAAAGTTCAGTCTTAGAACTTGGTTGCACTTCCTCTCATTATCAGTGGCAGATCTTGAACTTTTTTCCCGGGGTGGCAAAAAGGTGGCAGGGAGTATTGGCAGGGTGTTAATGTGGATGTATGAGGGGAGACGGGGTGGAGTTGGAGAGAGGTAGGATGAGGTGAAAGCCAATGATGTGGCAGAAATATTGGGGTGGCCTATCAGATTTGGGAGGGAGTGGCACTGGTCACCCAGGCCACCCCTTTAAAACCACATATGCTCGTGATCCAAGTTAATTTCTGATTATGAATTTAGGCTCGTCGGCCCATGAAACCTTACATCACATCTCAGATCTGTATCCTTTTCTCAGTGAAGGCTTCTTCACAGCTACACATCCTTTCAGACCCATAGTGCTCATTTGGCCTCACACAGCGGAAGGATGGATGGGTTGTTTCAGATCTGAAGAAAGAGTGGAGCTTGATTTTCTCCTCTCTCTCAAAGATGGAAGCTTTAAGTGCTGTTTATCTGATGGGGGCTGTTTTGGTGTCTACCGGGTCTTCCAGGTGGTTGCTAGGAGTCCTATTTACTCAAGTTTCGGAAACTTTCTTTGACTTTTACCTTCCTAATGCAAGTCTTATATCTAGTCTCCTCCTGAAAACTGAATGAGTTTTATTAAGTGGTCCTTTATACCGGTAATGGAATGAAGGGTGGTCTCAGACTTTTGCACAGTATTGTGGATGCAGTGTTGCTGTAGTTATACAAAGGTCCTCACAAATATAGCAACACCAACACTGGTGTGTGTGTGTCTGTGTGTGTGTGTATTCACGTGTGTGTGTGTCTCAAGGTGTGCGCGCGCAGTCTGAAGTAAGTAAGTTAAGCTCGCGCTCTTACCTGATGACGGCCGTGTCCCCCTGTCTGATGGTGATGTTGTCTGTCGCGCGCTGCATGTCCGCGCTCCGCACCGACACTCCTGCGGGCAGAAGACACAGCAGTCGGAAAAAGGAGGCGCGCAGCTGGGCCAGCCGCGGTCTGCTCGCGCGCCACATCTCCACACACTCACGCGCGCACGCTCTCCCTCACACACTCCACACAACACGCACACTCTCCGCGCGAGCGGTAGATCCGAGAAAGAGGGGAATAAAAAAAGATGAAAAAGTAATCAGCGTTCAGAAAAAAAGAGAAAAAGGAGAACCAGCAGGAGGCAAACAGCCCAGCAGCTCGAGCTCCGAGTTCAGAGACAGAGACGCGCGTGACGCTCGCGGTGCTGAAAGCGGAGCGCGCGCTGGAGGTCCGATAGAAACCCGCGGACACGAGACTCTGCTTCAGCCCGCGCGCAGTTCACCACTGAGAGGGAGAGAGAGAGAGAGAGAGAGAGAGAGAGAGCGAGCTGCTGCGCGTCGCTCTGCTGCCCCCTTTTCACGAGACTCGCGCTGCTTATTGGTTGTCAGGACAACAACGCGGGCAGAAAGGTTTACACCCCTACAACTTCACCTCACAACAACAACAACAACAACAACAACAACACCAACAATAATAATAATAATAATAATAATAATAATAATAATAAATATTGAAAACATAGATTAAAATAAAGACAGTAAAAACAGTGATAACAAAAATAGAAACAACCCATCTAACAACAAAACAGCAGCACCGAAAATAGCGACAACAAATAGTCCAACAACAACAACAACAAAACAGAACCAAAAATAGCAACATCAACAAACAGCCGGGCGACAACAAAATGACGACACAAATAGCAACAAACAGCCCAGCGACAACAAAACGACGACACAAATAGCAACAAACTACCCGGCGACAACAAAATGACGACACAAATACCAACAAACAACCCGGCGACAACAAAACGACGACACAAATAGCAACAAACAACCCGGCGACAACAAAACGACGACACAAATAGCAACAAACAACCCGGCGACAACAAAACGACGACACAAATAGCAACAAACGACCTGGCGACAACAAAACGACGACACAAATAGCAACAAACAACCCGGCGACAACAAAACGACGACACAAATAGCAACAAACAACCCGGCGACAACAAAAGAACGACACAAATACCAACAAACAGCTCGACAACAAAACGACGACACAAATAGCAACAAACAACCCGGCGACAACAAAACGACGACACAAATAGCAACAAACAACCTGGCGACAACAAAACGATGACACAAATAGCAACAAACAACCCGGCGACAACAAAACGACGACACAAATACCAACAAACAACCCGGCGACAACAAAACGACGACACAAATACCAACAAACACCCGGCGACAACAAAACGACGACACAAATAGCAACAAACAACCCGGCGACAACAAAACGACGACACAAATACCAACAAACAACCCGGCGACAACAAAACGACGACACAAATAGCAACAAACAACCCGGCGACAACAAAACGACGACACAAATAGCAACAAACAGCTCGACAACAAAACGACGACACAAATACCAACAAACAACCCGGCGACAACAAAACGACGACACAAATACCAACAAACAACCCGGCGACAACAAAACGATGACACAAATACCAACAAACAACCCGGCGACAACAAAACGACGACACAAATAGCAACAAACAACCCGGCGACAACAAAACGATGACACAAATAGCAACAAACAACCCGGCTACAACAAAACGACGACACAAATAGCAACAAACAACCCGGCGACAACAAAACAACGACACAAATAGCAACAAACAGCCCGGCGACAACAAAACGATGACACAAATAGCAACAAACAGCCCGACGACGACAAAACAACAACAAATATAGCAACAACATATAATCCACCACCACCAAATTATGACAAAAATAGCAACACATATTCTGACAAAAACAAAATAATGACAAAAAAACAAATTAACAAAAAAGAACAGCAACAACAAACAATCCAACAACCATATAACACACACACACACACACACACACACACACACACTTTCTAAGCCGCTTATCCTTCTGGGCTGCGGGGAACAATATAACAAAAAAAAGCAAAACCAAACACACAGCCCGACAACAACAAAATAACAAAAATAGCAACAACAAAGACCAACATCAACAAAATAACAACAACAAACAGTCCAACAACAACACTGATCACCATGACAGGCAACAAAAATGACGTTAACGTCAATAGGAACAACAGAAACAGCAAACAGTCCTACAACAACAATATAATAACCACAACAAAAATAGCAACAGTAACAAACAAGAAAACCTCTAACAAAATAACAACAAAGGTATTAACAAGAAAACAGCAGCAACAACAAACAGACCAAGTAACACTCAGAACCATAACAAACAACAATGACGAAGTTTAAAAACTACAATAATGAAAACAACATGAACAGCAACAAAGACAGGCAGACCAACAATAACAAACAAACAAACCAACAAAAACAACAACGAAAACAGCAGCGACAGCAAAATAACAACGGACAAAAAAATGGCTGTAAGATAGAAATAAGAAGTTATTTCTACAACAACAACTGTAACAAAATCAACAAACAGACTAGCAACAAAAACAGTCCACCAACAACAAAAAACAACCTAAACAACAACAATAACAAACAACAGTACTGCCAACACAAGCCAAAGCTATAGTAATTACAGTGGAGTCGAAGATAAAAAAGGTAAATTAAAAGGCAAATATATTATCGCCAAATTAAGACGTTAAAAGGAGCCAGTAATTAAATACATAAGCGTAACATGAGGACACTAATTAAAAGCAGGAGAAGACAAACAGGTTCTGAGCTGCCTTGTAAAAATCACAGAGGCTGCCTGTCTAATATAAAGCGCTTTTTTTCAGGGCGAGTAATGACCGCAGGTAGCCTCTCGCCTCATCTCGTGTTTAACTGTGGTGGTGTGCAGAAGGTTGGCACTCGCGGATGTGGGGGTGCGCTCTGAAAGACAATCTGTAATCTGCTGCCGTGCCAATCCATTAGGAGCTTCACAAACCAGTAAAAGAATCTCAAAATCAATCTGATCTGCCCAGGTAGCCGATGCACTTCAGCAAGCGCTGCTGTTATGTGAGCCGCAGGGGTTCACGCCGCGCCTCGTTCAACACACCTCATTCAGCTCATCAGCTAATGACCGAGACCCTCGGGGACCGGACCGAGAGCGCGGGAGGGAAAACTACTGCAGCGAGTAAAACAGCATGATTACGTGCAACTTTTAAAGAGCTGAACTGTGAACGGAATATTCCAGCATTTTCACCTTCAGCGTTATAAACTAACAACTGCTCCACTGACCATATAGAAGCACTTTATAGCCCTACAATTACAGACTGTAGTCCATCTGTTTCTCTGCATACTTTGTAACCCTGTTCTTCAATGGTCAGGACCCCCAGGACCCCCACAGAGCAGGTATTATTTGGGTGGTTGGTCATTCTCAGCACAGATGTGGTGGTGTGTTAGTGTGTGCTGTGCTGGTGTGAGTAGATCAGACACAGCAGTGCTGCTTTACTTATTAAACACTGTGTCCACTCACTGTCCACTCTATTAGACACTCCTACCTTGTCAGTCCACCTTGTAGATGTAAAGTCAGAGACTCATCTGCTGCTGCCTAGTTTGTGTTGGTCATCCTCTAGTCCTTCATCAGCGGTCACAGGGCGCTGACCACAGGACGGGATGTTTTTGGTTCTTAGTTCAGCAGCGACACTGAGGTGTTTAAACGTCAGTGTCACTGCTGAGAATGACCCACCACCAAAATAGTACCTGCTCTGTGAGGGTCCTGCGGGGGGCCTGACCATTGAAGAACAGGGCGCAGATGAACAGATGATCTACAGTCTGTAACTGTAGAACTACAGAGCGCTCCTATACGGTCAGTGGAGCTGATAAAATTGACATCCATAATTTATTATTAGCCATGTGGTAACAAGTCCATCCCTAATGGCTACATAGCAACGCACACAGCGTTTAGCGCCGCTAACATGAACTGGAATCCTAATCATTAAAATGAAATAACAGTCTGCCAACTTTGACCTTAGAATCATATCAAGCATGCAGGGCAATTATAGCAGCGCTCTCCTGTTCTCAAAGCAGAAAAGTGACATATGCTTAAATGCTAATGAACTGATGCTAATGCTAATGAGCGCTAGCTCCTTCATCACTCACATGCTGCTTTGTGCCCATCCATGCGTGTATATGGAGGTGTGTATATGCCCATTCTTATAGAAATGATTTTGTTGCCATATCTAATACACATTTTCTAGTGTATTCATTGTACATTCACTTGTTCCACACTCAGTTGTGTATCTGTACTATATGTAGTCCTGTTGTTGTGTGAAGCACCATGAGGCCTGAAGAACGACATTTCATTCCAACGTATGCAAGTTATATATTGAGAGGTGACAATAAGGCCCAATCCCATTTCACCCCTTGCCCCTACCACTTGGCCCTTAGCCCTCTGTTTTGCACGTTCACATTTAGGGGTAGGGTGTCCCAATGTTTTGTTGAGATAGAGGTGGAGGGCGAAGTGTTAGGGCTACATGGCTCTCCAAATGGAGTTTTTTCAGAGACTCACTCAGTGTGATGAGAAAAAGCACTATGGCTGCACAAGAGACCAAAGAAACCCACAAATGTGAGAATTTTCCCCGTTAAAAAATTACGATAACCATTGTGTCATCTTAGTTTAATGTCATTTCAGGGTATTATGGTCGTTTCCTTCATAATGACCATAAAAAAATTGTTAATAGCATGCTAATGTCTCGGTAGCTAGTTAGCTAACTTTCCCGTTCCACCTTAAATAGTCCAGCAGTTCTCACGCCTGAAGTGCCAGAATGTAACTGCTGCACCATTTAAGGTGTAACGGGAAAATTCAAACATGTAGCTGGTTAATATCTGACTTCAGCTTCGTATCACTGAATAATTAGGAGTGGGTGATAATTAATAATTGTCTTATACCCCCCTCTTTGAAGTCATATGATGCCCTAAATGTAACTAAAGTGAGGAGCTGAACTTTACCCTCCTCTGCTGTCACTGCAGACTGGCAGGGTCGCCTACAGAACAGCACTAGTAGCTGTTAATGAAGTTTATTATGAAATTTGATGGAAATTTGAAAGTTAATGAAATTTACTTATTTGAGGGTCCCATTTCATAGGGCAAGATTTCAACCACTACCCCTTGTAACTCAGTTCACTCAGTGACACTCAAAAACGAGGGGTAGGGGTAAAAAGAAGAAATGGGATTGGGCCTAAGACCACTTGACTTGACCATGGAAGGCTGTAGCATTACTATCTATTGAGGAAAGGGCCAACACTAAGATGGTTGCGCCACTTGGAAGAGTTGTAACATCTTCAGTATTTTACTCTGAAGCTTGATGACCACTGCTTTAGATACCTCAGCATTTCCCATGCCCAGCAGACCTCAGCTCAGATTTCGATCCTACAAAAACAGGTTCCATTTCTGCTGTGAGAAGTTGCTCTCAGTGCTCGCTATACTGTATACAACAGATGCTTGTGTTCATTAGCATTTAGGCGTATGTCAGTTTTGTGCTTTGAGAGCAGGAGAGCGCTGCTATAATTGCCCTGCATACTTGAAATGATTCTAACGTCAAAGCTGGCAGACTGTTATTTCATTTTAATGATTAGGATTCCAGTTCATGTTAGCGGCGCTAAATGCTGCATGCGTGGCTATATAGTAATTAGAGGTGGACTTTTTACCATATGGCCAATAATAAATGATGAATTAGTGCTAAAAGTCAAGTTACAGTTAATGCACTGATTTTGTTTCATAATAGAGTATGCAGTGATAAACTCTGACGACCTGTATATGTATGTTTCATTTCTACTATTTGAGCCTGTTGAAGAGAATAACTGTGTTTTCATGTCTTACTAATGACGCAGTGCCATAAGTAACAGTTATTAATAAAGCCATGCCACAATCCTACAGTGTTGTTGACCCACCACCTTCCACATACATGTA